AGTAGTTCGGCATCGAGGGGTTTTTATGTATGAAAGGCCCTGGGGCTAGTGATCATGTGGTTCGTGCTTCACTTTATAGTTTAGCTCCCAAATGGAGGAGGTAACAGGAATAGGCTGGGAAAAAAAAACTCAAAAGGGGGAAACCAGGCATGAGGAACTTCCTTAAGACATTCAGGGGAGAGGGAACGACAGGAAAAAACCAGTACAAGAAATGTGGACTTGTAGCAACAAAAATGCAAGGAGGCAGAGGAGGGTTTGTTCCCCAAAGGGAAAAAGAAAAAATGGGAAGAACAGACGGTCCCTTTTTCACCCAAAGGTGTAGGGAGGCAAAAATAGGGTTTTTACAGAAGGGAAAAAAATACAGAAGACAGAAACTAGGAAAATAAAGAAATCACGAAGACCAGAAAAGAAATGCACGATAAGAAGGGAGGCTCAGAGACAAAATGAAAAAGACATAGCATCAAAAGTAAAGACTGACCCGAAGCTGTTTGTACAGCCACATCAGGAGGAAAACAACAGTCAAGGACCAGGTAATCAGACTGAGGAAGGGTGATGGGGAATTCACAAGAAACGACCGAGAGGTATGTCAGGAGCTCAACACAAGATTTAAAGAGGTATTTACAGTGGAAAGCGTAGGACTCCAAGAAATCAGAACAGGGGGCACACCAGCAAGTGCTGGATGAGGTACATATAACCAAGGAGGAGGTGAAGAAGCTGCTATGCGAACTTGACACCTCAAAGGCGGTGGGACCAGACAACATCTCTCCATGGGTCCTTAAAGAGGGAGCAGAGATATTGTGTGAGCCATTAACAAAGATCTTCAACACATCATTTGAAACTGGGCAACTCCCCGAGGTATGGAAAAAGGCAAATGTAGTCCCAATTTTTAAAAAGGAGGACAGACATGAGGCACTAAACTACAGACCTGTATCACTAACGTGTATAGTATGCAAGGTCATGGAGAAGATCGTCAGGAGGAGAGTGGTGGGGCACTGGAAAGAAACAAGTGTATAATTGACAACCAGCACGGTTTCAGGGAAGGAAAATCCTGTGTCACTAACCTACTAGAGTTTTATGACAAGGTGACAGAAGTAAGACAAGAGAGAGAGGGGTGGATCGACTGCGTATTTTTGGACTGCAAGAAGGCCTTCGACACAGTTCCTCACAAGAGGTTACTGCAAAAGCTAGAGGACCAGGCACACATAACAGGAAAGGCACTGCAATGGATCAGAGAATATCTGACAGGGAGGCAACAACGAGTCATGGAACGCGACGAGGTGTCAGAGTGGGCGCCTGTGACAAGCGGGGTTCCACAGGGGTCAGTCCTAGGTTCTGTGCTGTTCTTGGTATACGTGAACGACATAACGGAAGGGATAGACTCAGAAGTGTCCTTGTTTGCAGATGATGTGAAGTTAATGAGAAGAATCAAATCGGACGAGGATCAGGCAAGACTACAAAGAGACCTGGACAGGCTACAAGCCTGGTCCAGCAACTGGCTCCTTGAATTTAACCCTGCCAAATGCAAAGTCATGACGATTGGGGAAGGGCAAACAAGACCGCAGACACAATATAGTTTAGATGGCCAAAGACTGCAAACTCACTCGGGAAAAAAACTGGGGGGGTATAACCCGAGCATATTTCCCGAGGGGGAAACCCAAAAATCG